AGACAACTTAGTGTCCCTCGTAGCTATATTTACCATGATGTATGTGAGACAACTTAGTGTCCCTCGTAGCTATATTTACCATGATGTACGTGAGACAACTCAGTGTTCCTCGTAGCTATATTTACTATGATGCATGTGAGACAACTCAGTGTCCCTTGTAGCTATATTTACCATAATGCACGTGAGACAACTCAGTGTCCCTCGTAGCTATATTTACCATGATGCACGTGAGACAACTCAGTGTCCCTCGTGGCTATATTTACCATGATGCACGTGAGACAACTCAGTGTCCCTCGTGGCTATATTTACCATGATGCATGTGAGACAACTCAGTGTTCCTCGTAGCTATATTTACCATGATGCATGTGAGACAACTCAGTGTTCCTCGTGCTATATTTACCATGATGCATGTGAGACAACTCAGTGTTCCTCGTGGCTATATTTACCATGATGTATGTGAGACAACTCAGTGTTCCTCGTAGCTATATTTACCATGATGCATGTGAGACAACTCAGTGTTTCTCATAGCTGTATTTACCATGATGTAGGGACACTGAGTTGTCTCACATGCATCATGGTAAATATAGCTACGAGGAACACTGAGTTGTCTCACAGGGACACTCAGTTGTCTCACATGCATCATGGTAAATATAGCTACGAGGAACACTAAGTTGTCTCACATACATCATGGTAAACACAGCCATGAGTAACACTGAGTTGTCTCACATGCATCATGGTAAATATAGCCACGAGGGACACTGAGTTGTCTCACATAATTCATGGTAAATATAGCTACGAGGAACACTGAGTTGTCTCGCATGCATCATGGTAAATATAGCTATGAGGAACACTGAGTTGTCTCACATGCATCATGGTAAATATAGCCACGAGGGACACTGAGTTGTCTCACATATATCATGGTAAACATAGCTACGACCACCAAAAAACAAAGATTAATAAAAGATGCCTACATTTAATAAATACATCTACCTTATGAAGAAGAAGAAGAAGAAAGTCCGTACCTCAGGATTTTGATCCTCACTTGAAGACATATTGGCTTGAATTTTTAACTTGGCAAAAGCAGTACACCTCAATACCGAAATGACTACAAAATAAAAGTTATGATTAATAACTAACAAGTTATACACATTTTTTAGTAAAAACAAAACACCATGAATGTTTTCACCTGAAGTTTTCCACATAAATAAAATACTTCTAAATATATGTACAGTTTCTTAATTTCAATATATTTGGTATATTCTTTAAATTTCTTTGTTTAGTGATTCAATTATGTTCTTTATGTTAATATAGTTTTCTATGTCAAACGCTGGACTTACTGGTTTATGTATGAAGTTATTATTACAACATTACATATGGTCACGTATCCATGCGTTTGTCTAAGCCAGTAGAATTAGTGATCAGCATAAATGTATTATTTTCAAGGACCTGTTAATCAAGTTCCCATGATATTAATATAGACATGAGGTCATAATGACATAAGCATCAGATGAGATTGTTACTGCAGGTGCTGGCTGGATGAATGGGTTTGAAATGTTATAATGTGTACACAGGGAATAACTTTGATCAGTTTGAATTTGTTTCAGGAAATACAAAGCAAAGAAAGAGTTTTCAAAGTTTCCTAAGAAACATTTGAAACTCAACCAGCAGATTTAAAAATTGAAAACCAGGGAAAGAAAGGACCATTATCTTTTTAAATATGGTGTTATATCAGAGTCAACATGCAAGCCACAATTACAGAAAGTGATAGTTCTATCTCTCTTACAAGTATTAAACAAATGACGAGAACACAGGGCCCCATTACTCTTAAATTATTTAAAGTTTACAGTTTTGCTGGAGTCACTATTATTGAAACAAGAGAACAAGGACAGGTATATGTCTTAGTTGTGTCACATAATTCATGGTAAATATAGCTACGAGGAACACTGAGTTGTCTCACATGCATCATGGTAAATATAGCCACGAGGAACACCGAGTTGTCTCACATAATTCATGGTAAATATAGCTACGAGGAACACTGAGTTGTCTCACATGCATCATGGTAAATATAGCTACGAGGGACACTCAGTTGTCTCACATGCATCATGGTAATTATGGCTACAAATAGAAAATGGCAGTGTTACATCAGCATAAACTAAATAACTGGAAAGTTACCTACTATATTAAGTGTAATATGATTCAATGGTATTTATTTTACTTAGAAAATTGTTTTATTTACACCTCACAACTGTATTCATACTCACAATGCATATCATATTCATCACTTGGTGCATTCGTTACATCTCTAATCTTCAAACTGAAACATGCTCAATGTTTGATCTGCTAACCAACATCAGATAAAAGTTTTCATATTACTAAGCCTCATGACTTTAAAGTTTGTTGTCTATAAGTAAAAGATTCAAAATTTCTGGAAACTACTTCGAAGACAAAAAGTTCTAAATATTCTATGCTATCATACTGTTTTTTACTATAGCTTTTTTGTTTGTTTATAAAATACTACAGAGGGTTAAATACATTATATTAAAATTATGTTTAAGCCTCACTACATCATTATGTTCCATGTCACCATGACCACTCATACTATATTTGATGACTGTGCATCTTGACAATAGCACTGCAACTGTTTCCATGTAAAAGGCTCAGTCATACGATGTCTCATCCAAAGTATACCATTCTCCCTTGCATGCTTTCCATGACACATCTAATGTGTGAAGATGACAGTTTTTTAGGGCTCATTTGAACAGTCCAATCACACAGAAAAACGTGGGCACTGTTTCCAAATATTTTTGTGTTTGATTATTCCAACAATTGATTAATCAAAATTCCAATTAAGTCAATTGTTATGAAAATAATCGACTAACCAAAATTAGGGTTTTATGATTATTACTATGTTTTTGATTTTTCCAACTATCTCAACATTGCTTTTTGTTGTTAAGCACAAAGCTACATAATTGGCTTCCTGTGCTCTGCTTAATTTTAGCCTTAAGTTTTTATTTTGTTACTTCAAATTTGTTCAGCTTTAATAATGTGTCTCACGTTCACTTTCCACTGGCACCAAACTACTGTCACTAATTTACTGTCACTGTTGTTTAGATGGAAGACAACTGGCTAGTAGCACCTGCAGCTAATTTTTTATTTTTTGCTTGTACATACAATGGTTAAGAACACTTTGTTAATCAATTATTGTGACTGATAATTAATTTATTAGAAATTATCACTAATTGCCCAGGTCTAGTGATGCACTCACAATGGAGTTCCTCTTGATGTTAGAGAGATTAAAAAGAGGTTATCCAAAAACATTAGAACTCAGTCAAAACAAGACAACTATAAAGAAGGAATAGTAACAATAAGATACTTAGTTCTTCTCATTGTTATCACTTTCATTGTGTTACATTTTCAGCAATCAATAAACTTAAATATGATTGATCAGACCTAAACCAATAAGTCATGAGAAAAGCTAATGAACATTTATTATTCTTGAAACTAAAAGTGCCGAGTGTCCTTGAACATGTTGAAAATAATTCTTACAGCACAAACCGAAGTCAAAATAAAATAGCAACAATAGTCTTGCCTAGGAAGAATTTTTTTTTGTCAACACTGAAATATTTGGGAGTTTAAATGTGTTTTTGAAAGCAAGAGACTGACCCTAAACTTATATATTTTTATGTGATAAATTGGTCTAGCATATTTTTTCTTGTTCAAAGTTGCCATTAAAGCATGGCAATTTTCATATGATTGACTCATGATTTTAGGCTTAAAAAACATTTCATACAAATTTTTATTACAAAGAACAAAGCTACACAATGGGCTGTGTGTTCTGCCCACCATGGGTATCAAACCCAATTTTTAGCATAAGCCCACCGACTTACTGCTGAACCACCAGGAGGGCTAAAGATTACTGTATGTTGTTAAAACAAAACAACATAATGGGCTATCTGTACTCTGCCCACCATGGGTATCAAAACCTGGTTTTACATTATAAGCTCACCGAGTTACCAGTGAGCCACCAGGAGGGTTAAAGTTCAGTGATCCTAAGAATTAAGACCATTACATGCAATGAGGTTGCTGCATAATTACTTTTTAACATCATTTGTAGTTTTACAGAAAAACAAATAAGTTTTAAACTTACTCTTCATGTGTTAGAGGTTTAAAATCTGCGGGGTCTTCAGGGTATTGCTACAAAAAGATAAATAGCTATTACTCTGAACAAATATCTCCAGTAGTAATAAAGGTTTATCAACACTATAAACTAAGCTGCTGGTATCTATAGCAGATATATTACATTCAAAGTCACTACAATGAAATTACAATGACTACAATATTTGACTAAAAAGTACATCTACAGTAACATATATATTGCATAATTTTCAGAACACTTGAGTACAAAAACAATGTATAGTGAAGTAATTTATATATAAAAAGTAAATATGTAGTCCAGCACTTTCTAAACTTTTTTTGATGGCAACACAATACGTACGCACCAAAAATAATTTGACAACACAGAGACGAGTATAAACTGTAGCATCAGGGCTCCCCACTTTACCTGCCACTACACAAGATTGTGTTGGCAAACCTTTTTCATGTCGTGTGCCCGATATGAAATACAAAACATTAGATAATTTTTTGCATGCCACATCGGTGAGCAAGTTTAAAAATACTTTATATTACTGAATTTTATAACAGCTATAAATAAAAACAAACACTTAATGAAACATTTTGTGCAATTTCCAAAAACATGGCAACACCCCTCGAGGCACAACCTGGCACCCCCCAAGGTGTTCCAACACCCACTTTGGAAAGCACTGATGTTGTCCCTCACCACTTAAAGTAATTTCAGAAGGTCACAGAAATAGAATTAATAAAATGAGATATTATTTTTCTAAAAAATCATATTAACTTTCAAATAATACACTGTAACAACGAGACAAATAATATATAACTATTTAATTTTAACTTGTTTACAAAGTTAGGTAACAAGTGCAGTCTACTGGTGTAAACTATGGGAACGTTTAACTTTCATTAAATGATTTGTAACGGCAGAAGACAATCTGAAGCCTGAAACATAACACTACAGACTGACCTAGAACCCACCCCACACTGACGTAACTAATGGCTTCTATACCTAGAGCTCAATTTTGATTATTTTCAGCAAATCACTTCATTTTTATAATAATGATCAAATATTATATAAAAATAATACATTTAAAATTTCACAAGTTCTGTCAATGGGGAAAGCAAGCTGGAGGTATACACGACTGTCTTATGTTTAACATAAGCCCTATTGGTAACATTTAAATGGGCTCTCACTGTGATTTACTACTTTTCCCTCACAGTAGGGGTTCTATGGTACACCAATACAATTATACAACTGTCACAAGTTCTGTCAATGGGGAAAGCAAGCTGGAGGTATGCACGACTGCCTTACGTTTAACTGGTAACATTTAAATGGGCTCTCACTGTGATTTACTACTTTTCCCTCACAGTAGGGGTTCTATGGTACACCAATACAATTATACAACTGAAAGAAGGTGAAGAAAATGCTGCAAAATCCTTATATTTCTACACATCTGTATTAGACAATCACTGTAATATCATGATAACAGGTTTTATATGCATGGCCCAGATTCCTTACAGTAGGTGTCTGAGACTTGTTGGCAATAAATTTCAACAATAAACAGTACACAGTCCACTTGTTTTAAAATAATATATTAAAACAAGTCAAACATATATACAAATGTTCATTACACTGTTGGTTATCACAGTTGTATCCAGAGCTTTTAAATAAATGTCTCTTTTTCAAATTCCACACAGGCTCATTAAGTTATTTTAGTACACAATTTGACAAGACAAATTATTATTCTCTACTCTGTTAGTACAATACAATCTGTGATAACTTCTCTTTACAAGTTGCCACTATATGCTCTTTATGGCTAAAACTCAAAATTGCACAGTCTAGATCTATCTATATATTAAGCTACATTTTTAGACATGTATTTATAGCCTGACCGAGGCCTAGAACATTCCACAAACTACAAGATATTATGATGCAATAATATTCAATTAAAAGTAAAAGCTTAGAAGGTTCTAGTAACACAATGCAATAATATAACATTCACCAAGCCCTCTCAGAGGTTCAAACAGACCCAGGCCACTTCAATCTTTTAAGGCCTCTGGCTATAATAAAAATAAAAACGATGACACATGAAAACAAAATAAGACAATCATTAACCCAAACAAAAGTGAAAGAATTTGGATATTTGATTTGTATATATAATTTACAGCTCTAAGCTGAGAGTATGTGTCACATTTTGTTCTGATCGGGAGGCACATAACAAGTCACGAAACTTGCCAAAAAAATAAGTTTCAAAACTTGAGGGCCCCTTTCAGCTTGAGGCCCAGGCCAAATGGCCCCCTAACAAGACTTAACAATCACCAATCTATAACTAGTAAACTACACATCATATGGTTTGTAAACAGTTACAGAAACAAACTTGCAATAAACTATTGCTTCTAAAAATAACTAAATTTAACACTAACACTATATAAATTATCTAAATAATAACACTCGCATTAAACTGAAATTGAAACATTCATGTATATCTAACAATTATCAAAGTTTTATGGCAATATTTTTGGTTAAAATAGGTTTATCTTCAGATTTATAGGTTTTTAAACCTTTATTGGTCTATTTTTTAGGAAAAATAAAAGATATGAGAATGAAAACAAAGGTTTTATAAATATTAACTAGAAAGCAACTATCTGAAATAATGTGGGTAACAGAATTCACAACTGTTCTTCACACATTGTCAGCATCTTACCTTTCGACAAGCAGGACATAACCCATTCTCATCTGTTCGGATTCTGTGCCAGCAAAAACGACAAATCTAGAAATATAGCTAGCTATATTAGTATAATCAACATGAAAAATGTATTAAGCATTAAGAACACAATACACACAGAAAAGCCATATGCATAGTTACAATCTGTGACTATTTGTGCATTTGTCAACTTTGTACACAACACTCTTTGGTGAAAAGTAAAGAAGTTTGGTATATAGAGAATGAGTTAAGAAGAAACATAAATGGTATTATAGTGAGGAGAGAATTTGTACTAAAACATTGAATGTTTCAATGTTATATCACGTAAAATTTGCACTTGGAATGTTAAATAAATTTTTCAGTTTGGTTACTATTGTTTACCCACATTTTTCAAGTAAATATAACAGCATATTCTCACCTGATATCCACAAGTGCATGGGAAAAAATTTACATCATCCATCTCCAAAGGCTCCATGCACAAAGGGCACTAATAACAGAGAAAATGGTATAAAAATTGTCTTAATTTATACTATGACATAAATATGTTTTTAATTAAGTAACTGTTATTCTATAATAAAGTTTTAAGCCATTTAATTCAGTTAAATTATGTGGTTATACTTCAATACACACAACAATAAGTGTCATTCAAACAGTTTATATGGTGTTGATATAATGCAGAAAACAATAACAAATGGGACATAAATTATGTTTGTTTCACATTTTGTTTATATACACGACTTGTTATTTCTTATTGTGTACGACTGGTTATTTAACTTTCCAGGTAGATTTAGCACTCAGATTTTCTTAACATGTGTTTTCTGCCATCTTAAAATTAACACATGGCCACAATCTTCACACTGACTCAAGGTTAACAATTCACTCATATATATTCAGTGAATTAAAAAATGAGCCAGTGATAGAATAATATTCATTATTTATGATTGTGTGAGATGAATATTTTCAACTTTTTGTTACAGAACAATGAAGCACGCTCTTTACAAACAGTAATAAAACTGGTAAACCTGTAGCATAACTTCTGACCACTGTATGACAGTACTGTTCCACACTAACATGGATTATCTCAAGGACAAGCTGTTTAACAGTGATCAATACCAATTAGCTTGGCACTATACAATTTCACACAATTTATTAAACATCTACTTGCCAATGTCGATATGATTCGTATCAAATTTTTAATGCAATACACTTCCTTAACCTGAATAATCCAGTCATTACATTCTGCGAATATTTAATCAAGGGCACTGGATTATCCGAGTCAACATTTCCCATGCTATCATACCGTTTGTCACAGTGAATCTGCAAATAGCACACATTTTGTATCAATAAGATTCACCTGCTTGAGTAATCATGTATAAAAATAAAGATCTTGTATACCCCCTGGGAAAGACTAAATCACCTGTTTGGAAATGTCATGGGTTTCCAAAGTACAGTAAAGTTTTTTTTTTGGAAGAAAAATGTTGAAGTTTCATGAAATTGTTTGATCTGACAACAAACATTGTTTAGCCCTCCTGGTGGCTCAGCAGTAAGTCGGTGGGCTTATGCTAAAATTGGGTTTGATACCCATGGTGGGCAGAACACATAGCCCATTGTGTAGCTTTGTTCTTTACAACAAACATTAATGTTTAAAGCATTAAAGCACAATGAACTGAAGAGGCAGTATCAGTCAATTCTCTTGTTACGAGGTCGGTCAATTTGTACTGGTTAAAATATCCATACTATAACTTTTAATAAAGTATGTGTTTCTTCACAAAATTTGGCAGACTTTTAGTAAATATTACAAATCTTTTATACACAAAAATCAGATTTTTAATGAAGTATTTTTACTAAAGATTTGTTTGTGAATATATATATATATATATTTTTTTTTACTATTCCGAATGCAAAGTGATTTCCACATTAAGATTAAATATACTTTTCCTCTCCAAAGTCTTAATTTTCATTTGTGTAACCTCCAAAACCTCCTAAATAAGGTTCAAACGTTTTTTTTGTCAGTAAACCATATATTTTTTTATTTTTTGTACCCCAACCCTGTACAAGATTTTTTTAAAATTTGACTAACCCCAAAAAAAAAAAAAAAAAAAAAAAAAAAAAAAAAAATTGAAATAAAGTTAAATTATCCTTTTT